ATATGATTCATGGCCCATGCGGTACTCTTAATCGTTCATCGCCTTGCATGGCAGATGGTAAATGTACTAAAAATTTCCCTAAAGATTTCACTAACGATGCGATCATAAATGTCGACGGATATCCAATATCTCAGTCATTTCGTATGAATTCGCCAAATCGAACTGAATCTGATTTAATGAATACTGAAATGAATCGTGAACTGCAATACAGCACTGTAGAAATGGCAGCGATTGTTGCCCGCAATGTCCCACTAATGAATGAGGAACAAAGAACCGTTTATGATCGCATAATGCTCACAGTTTCAGCTAGACAAGGTGGGTTCTTCTTTTTGGATGCACCGGGTGGAACTGGCAAAACATTCGTTATTTCGCTAATTCTTGCTGAAATACGATCAAATAATGGCATCACATTGACAATTATAAGTGGCATGCTCTCGAGTGGGTAAACCATCCAGTTTGTTTATGTTAACTAAAGATGGACTAACAAAAAATATTGTTCACGCTATAGCATTAAGAGATTGATATTTTTAAGGAATAAATTATAATAACTTAAAAATAATGTTTGCCTTTTGTTATTTTTATATTTCCTCATCGTTCACAGCGCTCCATGCCTCTTTCACTAATTTACCACATCCTTAAACACTTACAATAAGTTAGTTATTTTTTTTCTAGACTATAGATTCCCTAGAAATAATTTATATGGCAAAACAACGCTTGCCGGGACAGCAAGATAATAAGAATCAGCATAATCTGAATAAGAATAATCATCACTTAAATAATAATAATAATAATCAGCACAATAATAATAATAATCAACAAAAAAAACATAATAAGAATCAGCGTTATCAGAATAAGGATAATCATCACTTAAATAATAATAATGATCAGCAAAATAATAATCATAATCATTAAAAAAATAAACAAGATAATAAGAATCAGCATAATCAGAATAAGGATAATCATCACTTAAATAATAATAATGATCAGCAGCAGCATAATAAGCATCAAAAAAAAAAAAAAAAA